AAAAGAGAAAAATAGTATTAAGGAGCATTTGGGCACAGTCTCCACAAGAGTGCCCCCGCATCTGACACCAATTGCAAGTTTAGGGCGTTCCCCAAACCACCCTGTTTTGATAATTTCCTGGAAGGATTCATAGAGTTCACTGAAAACTGTTACACTCACAGTTAAGTATTATTAAAGAAAAAGGATACAGATGAAAATCAGCCAAGGAAAGAAGCGCCCAGAGCAGAGTCCAGGAGAAGTACCAAACACAGAATGCCCATTGTCTTCTCTCCATGAAGTCAAGGGTATATGTCTCTATCCTGGCATTAATGTGTGATAATATGACCAGAATATTGCCATTGGCAAAGCTCACCTTTGGTGTCCAGAGTTTTTACTGGGGCTCATCACATACTGCCTGCATGGCTTACCTTAGTCATCAGCCCCTCCCAGAGGTCAGGCTAAGATCTTTAGTCGCCCGATCCCTCAGAAGTCAGAGCTGATGTTGTGTTACCCAAAGTTCCCGTCATAAACTGCATTGTTAGACTGTCCGGTGGCCAAAGCCCTAGGCAAACAAAGACTCTTCCTTTAGGCAGGAAATTCCAGGGGCCTAAAGATTATCTCTAGTAGCTAAGGCAAAGGCCAGGTCTCTCTTTAGGTGAGGCTAATTCTTCACTACCCAAGGATAGCGATCCCTTTGCCTCTGCCCATACTTACACTCAAATTCAAAATTACGATACCAATAATGACCAACCTCATTTCATCTGATAGTGTGCCAGAGTCAACTCATATTAGTTCACAAAAACTGTTAAATATTTAGGAGTTTTGTAAGCTGGTTGTTAAACACAGCTGTTATAAAACACGTAGTTATATAAACTTGTAATTATATGGATTAGATTAAAAACAAAGATGATAAATGTTCAAAACTCTTCGTGTTGTAATTATTTTACTGTATTTTACTGTTAATATGATCTTGATCTTATCTAGATCTACTATATCTGTTTGGTAAGATTAGGTAGAATGTTATGCTACTAGGCCTCTCTTCCCATCTCTGCCTTCAGTGACATCACGTTGGTGGCATGAAATTGACCATGGTAAGAATATTTACACCATGAAATTCAACAAATACTATGAATCAGGACTTTTTTGGATACATTTTAATTTTGAGAAGCATCTTTCTGTTGATCCAACTGCTACTAGAACTGTTAAGAGTAGTTTCTAAGTTGTGACAACATGAAGATACCTTTCTGAGAAATTATTTCAAAATATAAATGATAGTATTTCTAGAGCTAATGATTCTGATGGGGTAATTTTTCTAAAAAAATTTAACTCTTCATACAAATCAGTTTGTTGTAAGCCTGAATTTAATTTTAAATGTAAATTGATACATAGCATTTTCGTATTTTTTTCTGACATTTCCTATAAATTGTGGAGGTTGTACAAGAAAAGGGGCTTTTTCATTTGTGTATAATTAAAGTGTAAAAATAAAAATATAAGTCTTAAAATTTCATTCATATGAAAATACTTTTTTCTGTTGTATACAATAATCTCAAAAGGAAAGGGCTGTTTCCAAGACTGTGGATATTTGCTTTGCAGTGTTGCAGCAGTTTTCAAAACCAGAGATCCTGATCTCTTTGAAGAAGTCTAGTAAGTACTTGCTATGCTTTATTTTAATGTACATGGGTATGCTTTTATCTTGTAGCAAATTGCTGACAAAGTTTATTGCCTGAGAGCAAGAGCAAGATCACAGATAATTTTCGATAATCTTTAATTTTAATTCTGGGCAGAATTCGCAGAGATACATCCGGGGATGGGAGTGGAAGCCAGATGTCCACGAGGAGCCCCTTCCTCTTTCTGGGGGCTGCGGCTGCCGTTGTTGCTTCCAACCTGGGCCAGCCTGGATGCAGCCAATGCTCAGACCACAGGGCACCTCAGCCTGTCCAACGCTGGTCCTGCCTAATGCTGACCAGCTTCTTAAAGTGCATGTTGCCTGTTCTACCACAGGCCCAAGGGAGTGGTGGGGAGAGTATAGTTTAATTTTCTTGTTCTTTTTTTCTATTTTTCTGTATTTTCCTCAAGAGTAGGTAATAGTTAAATAACTAGACCACAAACATTTATTTTTAATATCAATTATATTATCAACTCTTTTTCTGAATTTATGACTTTGTAACATTGCATTTGTCCCTTTATATAGGGTATACCTGAACGGGGTGTATATTAGGCTGAAAAAGCGTAGTGGGCAGTAATTTGAAATTTGTTTTAGTAAAATACCTACTTATCCTTGATTTATTTTTAGTTGTGTCCTAATTTCTTTAAGGACCGTGCTCCATTTTAATTTACACGAGTGACTTACTCTGTATGACACTCAGAGAGGCACTTCTGTAATAGTTTATGTTTTAAATTGCTCTTGAGTGGACAAAAGATGTCTTAGAAGGTAGTATTGCTCCAATTATAAATCCTTTAAAAATAATCAGAGACCAAGTAACAAGAATGAAATCTCATTTTCTTTTGGCCCCCTTTATTAGCCAAGATGAGTGCTTTACACCTTAAGAGAGAAGCAGAGGGGATGATGGACTGGCCTATCAATGTAAACCTATCTCTGACGTCACCACTTGTACACTGTTTTCCTGGAAGACAGAACAAGATTGAGATAGGAAGGGATGGGGCTGCAAAGAACTGTTTAATTTTTAAAAAGTATTTACTTACTGGTTCGTGCTTGAGAGGACTTTTGAGGTATCTCCCTATTTTAAAGTGAATTAATCCCAAACTTATCCAAACTAAATAGAACAGAGATGCCACTGAATGTAGAGGAAAACTTAATGAAACCGAGCTCAGAAATCTGGAATCCCACTTACAAGTTTCCTTTATCTCTTCCTCTTTATCTCCTCCATTGTCTTTTTGGAGTTTGGAGTCCAGTTCCCGTCCTTCTACACTTCTCTCCATTGTCATGGAGAACTCTGATAACTCTTTGCATCTAAAAAGGAAAACAACTCAGAGAAGAAGGGGCTGGGCAGGGCTGTACTCCTACTTGGGCAATTTGAGGGTAATTGGAGGGGGAGAAAAGGTCTCTGTAAAAATCTATTATTAGTCTCTCTTTGGGATTAAGATATTGTCTCAAAGTAAGGATTTTAGGTAAAGATTTGATATATTGGCTTATTAAACTTACTATCATTTCAGCAAAGGCAATTTCACTATCCTAGTCAGCTGCTAACTTAGAAAGTTAGACTTTTATAGTGTTACCCTTATACACGCACCCACACAGGCACACTCTGAGCCACTTTGGTCACCCAGCCCAGTATTTAGCACATTGTAGCACAAAGTGTACTCTTAATATACTTCTATTAAATTGATGGACAGGCAAAGAGGAAAGGCTGTAGTGTGTTCTGCGGGGAAGATGGTAGATTCAGGTGTGTGTGGGGTCTGGATATTAAAGCTATCAAGAGTCAAAAAGTTTTGACATAAGGATAAAAACATCCATGCTTGGGTTTCTCAGTTTCATTTTGCAGTCACTAAGTTTCAAATCACCAAAGTGAAATGGATGAAATGCGTCTTGACTTGGAATATGTTTGTTTTCATTCACTGGGTTTTCAACTGCTCAGATACATCTTAAAATAAAAAAAAAAATTGGTGTGGTAAAGAGTCACACAAATGCTCAGTATAAGAACAATTTCTGCCTTTTATTTTACTTTTTTTTTTTTAAGATCAAAGAACCTTTTAAGAATTTTTGAAGAATGGAAATAAATGGCAAATTCGTATTTTAAGTTTTTTCTCTTTGGATGTGTCAAATTCCAGGTAACTTCAGTAACATACAGCAATGGAAATTTACGATGGCCCTCAAAGAGTTAACAGACTTTTCAAACCTGGAGAAATTCTAGTAATCATTCTGGGATACGTAATTTATTTACATATATAACTAGCATTTTTAGAAAAAGAAGATAAGTTTTCAGAAAAATGGGGAGATTGGGAGTCAAAGCCAGAGGCCTTAACGTTTTAAATTTTTTTCTTCTTTTTTTTTCAAGTGGTACTGACTTAGCAGGAACAGTTCAAACACGCCCACAGTCCAGGAAATAATCATCAGACCCAAGTGATCCACTTAGATGGGAAGAAAAAGTAGTTTGCTCAGCATCTCCTGGATCGTCTTAGGAGTTTTAGTAAGAAATAAAATGAGAAGCAATGTTTCAGAAGTCAATTCACTGCCCAGACCCAAACCCCAAATCGAACCTGGGACTTTTCTTAAGTGCGAGCAGAGCAAAGGGCGGTAAAGGCAAACAGCCCGGGGCGCCCCCTGAACAAACTGCGCGGGGCGGGCAGGAAGCCCCCGGCCAGGAGACCCTTTCTCTTGGTTTCGGGAAGGTGCTTCGGGCAGCTCCGTTTGCCCCCCCCTCCCCGGCTCCCCCCGCCCACGGGGAGGCTGCGAGCGCGGGGCGCAGGCCGGCGGGGCACAGCAAGGCCCGGGGACGAGGCGCGGACAGGGCGCCGGGCAGGAGAGCGTGTCGCCGGGCGCCGCCGCCGCTGTTGTCCGGGGTCCTGAAAGCCGGGAACTTCCCGGGACGCAGCGGCCACTTTTCTCCGTGTCGGAGCGGGGGGTGTGGGGGTTTCAGGGAGCGCACCTGCTAGGCCCGCCCTGGCCCTGGGCCCGGAGGTGCGGGCAGATGCGGCCCTCCCAGCCCCCTGGGTGGGGGTGCGTGATTGGGGGGCGGCGGTGAGCACGGCCGGGAGCGCCAGGCAGGACCCCGCTGGCCCTTCTCCGCCTCTCGGGCAGCCCCGCGCCGCGCCCGCGCTCCACCTGCGCGCGAACTCCGGCGGCCGGGGACGCGGGCGCCGGGCGCTGAGTGCGGCGGCGAGCGGGGCGGGAGCGGAGGGTGCTGGGGGGGGGGCGGCCCTCGTCCGGGGATGGAGGGGGGCGGGTGGAGGCGAGAGCGAGCGGGGCATGCGCAGTGGGGCGGAGGAGGTGGCGATGGCCGGGGGAGGCGGGGGACTGCTGTTTATTTGCAGCTGGGCCAACTCGGCGGCGCAGGCGGAGCGCGGGGCGCCAGCGGCGGGTCCAGCTGCCGCCGCACCATGCCAGAGCCCACCTCCGGGCAGCCGCGGCGCGCCGCCGGGGCCCCGGCCGGCGAGGATGCCAGACGCCCGGGAGCGGCCAGGGCAGCGGTGGCGGCGGCGGCACGATGGTGGTGACAGGCTCTGCCCGAGGCGGCGGCGGGGACCGCGCGCCCTCCCGGCGGCGGGGCTGCGGACTGGCGCCGGCCGGGGCCGCGGCGCTGCTGGCCGGGGCGAGCTGCCTGTGCTACGGCCGCTCCCTGCAGGGCGAGTTCGTGCACGACGACGTGTGGGCGATCGTGAACAACCCCGACGTGCGGCCCGGAGCCGCGCTCCGCTGGGGCATCTTCACCAACGACTTCTGGGGCAAGGGCATGGCCGAGAACACCAGCCACAAGTCCTACCGGCCGCTCTGCGTCCTCACCTTCAAGTGAGTCCCTCACCTGGCGCTCGCAGCCGCCGACGTTTCTCCTCACCCCTTGTCCGAGCTGGGAGAAGTTGCGGGACCGGCTGGGGGGTGGGGGTCGTTTCTTTTCTTGCGGCCCCTTCCTCTCCACGCCTCCCTCCTCTCCTCTGTCCACGCCACTCTGCGCCGCGGTCCCCGGCCCCGCTTCTCTGGGCTCCCGGGGCGGTTCCGGGGCTGGGAGTTGGGATCGAGTTTTTCAAGAGTCTACGCTCTCGGCGGGCTGGTCTCTCGGGCAAGGGCTGGTTGCGGGCTGGTGGAGCTGCTCCCGCACTCCCACCCCAGCCGGACGGTGGTCAAGTGCGACCGCGCGGGCCCAGAGGGTTCCGGGCGGGAGGCTGTGGTGGGGATGCTTGCAAGTTGGGAATTTCTCGGAGGCTGTTGGGCAGCCTTGCTGATGGCGAGAGAATCAGTCCCTTTGGGGTCGCGTTCGGAGGAGAAGAGACGAGAGCCAGGAGCTGCCAGGGCTGCATGGGTTTTGGGGAGGCGCAGCGGAGGGAGCGGAGGCTCTCCCCCGACCTGCAGCCTTTGGCTGCTCCCAGAGCCTTTCCAGTCTGCAGGTCTGCGGAACGGCTTGGGATTTAAGATTTTAAAAGATGCAAAGCAAAGGAAGGCCGAGCGTGGGATCCTCTGGGGATCCTGGTGTCCCAGTCGAAATAGTTTTTGTTTTACAACCTCAGAGTCATGATTCAGCATTTCTGGTGTGAATAAAGTGTAAAGGGAACCGAGGGAACGCCAGGTTTTTGTAGGGTGGAGTATTCTCTTGCATTTAAAAGCGGGCTAGCTTCGGATGGAAGAGGAGGAGGGCTTTGTGTGAGTGCTATCTCGTACACCGTGAGCTTGACTCAACCCTTTGTAACTTGGCTCAGCATTTAAGCTTATAATGTGCCGGACAAAAACTTGAAGTAATATTGGTTCAGTATCATCAGTGTTTTAAGCCTTTTCCAGTGGGTGTAATATGAACCCGTCTTCATGGTAATGGTCATTCGAGGCGGGATAGGAAGCTTGAAAAGCTTGCCTGGGGCCAGGAGTCCACGGTTTCTTGACAGGTGGCTGTGATGACTTAGAAAAGGAAACCATAGCAGTTGGCAGTAATTCATGGGCTTTTGACTTAATTCTTCCACTGAAAATTCAGTGTTTTAAAAGAGGGTGAGGAAATTGCACACTTGACTCTGAAGAGAGTATTTTATAAACATTTGTCCTCTTGGAAAAGTGGTTTTGGTTTTCGGCTGGAAGATAACCTCAGCTACTGAGTTCCTCAGTACTCTCAGTTTTCCAAATGTTTCTTAAAATCTTAGATGGCACAAATATATATGTTTATCTTCTAGATTGGCCTGCCTTTTCATTTATCACAGTGAAGGATGATGGTTCATTTCAGGTGTGGAAGCTCACAGCATGAGATATGTGCTGGGTTTATAACAGCCATGGAGACTTTTGATCTGAGCATTTTCCATTTTAAAAGGTTAGGGCCAAATGCCTGCGCCCACTTGGTGGAGGATGGGGAAGCTGTTTTCACTTCTTGACTTTCTAAAATGTTTTTTCAGGCATGCAGGAGATGGCAGGGACAGAAAAGAGGAGTGGGGAAGGAAGTAGACAATGAGGCAAGGCCATTGATGAGGAGGAATGTTAGCAAGGGTTTGGGGGAACCAGGGGTTAAGGGGGCAGGAGAGTTGCCCGGCAGGGCCAACTCCTCACTATGTTCTCATTGGTTACAAAATGCAGATTGATGTCTAAGACCATTGCTCTTTGTATGTCTTATCTTACTGGCTGTGTGAGATATACTCTTTTTTTTTTGGAGAAGATTGAGTTGTAAATCTAGAGAACAACACAGCACTATTGGAAAGGGGTAGATGTCTCTTCAGAAAGAGAAAGTTAGCTCATCTTTCCATGTTCACAGGTGTGGATTAAAATAAGACCTGGAAGCTTTCTCCACACTGGATCTTCTTGTGCAGCTGCATAAAGAGGGACATGTACGAGGGCGCGGTTGATGATGCTAGACCCACACAACTCTAAAGATTGTTGCAAGGAAGGACAATCACATTAATTAACTACTCAGTGTGAACCAAGAATTGGCCTGAAACACTTTACATAGATTATGTCTTTAATGATCTTTATTTTAGGTAGTTGGTGAAAATAAAGTTAAAGTGGCCTTTTAAATATATATACACACTGTTTTAATTATATCTTAAGCTAGGTTTGTTTGAATAAAAATCTTTGAGAATTCGAGAACATTTTTATTTATTTTTATTGTGGTAAGAACACTTAACATGAGATTTGCCATTTAAAATTCTTAGGAGCATGATACAATATCATTAACTCTAGGCACAGTGTGGTACAACAGATCTCTGGCGCTTATTTCTCTTGCACAACTGGAACTATATACCTGCTGAACAGCAGCTCCCTGGGCTCCCCTTCCCCTGCCCTTGGCAGCCATCCTTCTATTCTGTTTCTATGAATTTGACTATTTTAGATACATTATGTAAGTATAATCATGCAGCATTTGTCCTGTGACTGGCTTATTTCACTTAGCATAATGTCCTCCACGTCCATCCACGTTGTTGTATATGACAGGATTTCCTTTTTTAAGGCTGAATAATATTTCATTGTATGTATAGACCACTTATTTTTTATTTTTTTAAAAGATCTTATTTATTAGAGAGTGAGCGAGAGAGAGAGCACGAGCACGAGAGGAGGCAGAGGGAGAAGTAGGCTCCCCGCTGAGCTGGGAGCCCGATGCGGGGCTCGATCCCAGGACCCTGGGATCATGACCTGAGCCAAAGGCAGACACTTCACCGACTGAGCCACCCAGGCACTCCCCACTTTTTTTTTTATCCATTCATCTGATCATGGGCAATTAGGTTGTGTCCATGTCTTAACTGTTGTGAATATTGCTGCAGTGAACTTGGCAGTGCATATATCTCTTCAAGATCCTGATTTCAATTCTTTTGGATTTATAACCAGAAGTAGGATTGCTGGATTATAAGGTAATTGTATTTTTAACTTTTTGAGGAATCTCTACTCTTCTCCATAGGAGCTGCACCTTTTACGTTCCCAATAGTGTACAGTGGTTCTAGTTTTCCACATCCTTGCCAACACTTGTTATCTTTTTCTCATAAAAGCCAGCCTAATGGTTGTGACAGAGGTGATAACTCATTGTGGTTTTGATTTGCATTTCCCTAATGATTAGTGATGTTAAGCATCTTTTCATGTACCTGTTGGCCATTTGTATGTCTTTTTTTTTTAAAGTATAATTGACATAAAATACTCTGTTAGTTTCAGATGTATACCATAGTGACTTGATGTTTTTATATATTATAAAATCGTCCCCACTATAAGTCTGGTTACCGTCTGTCACTATACAAATTTATTACAGTATGATTGAGTATGTTCCCTAGGCTGTACATTACGTCTCCATGACTTATTTATTTTATAACTGGAAGTTTGTGCTTAATGCCCTTCACCTATTTTGCTTGTTCCCCCCCGCCCTCCCCCCCACTATCCCCTCTGGTAACCAGTTGTTTCCTGTATCTGAGGCTGTTTCTGTTTTGTTCTGTTAGGTTGTTTTGTTTTTTAAATTCCACGTATAAATGAAGTCATATGGTATTCATCTTTCTCTGTCTGACTTAGTTCACTTAGCATAATACCCTCTAGGTCCCTCCATGTTGTCACAAATGTCAAGATTTCATTCTTTTTTATGGCTGAATCTTTATTGGAGAAATGTCTGTTCAAGCCCTTTGCCCATTTTTTCATCATATTTTTTTTACCTTGAGTTGTAGGAGTTTCTTATGTATTTTGGGTATCAATAATATATCAGATACATGCTTTGCAAATATTTTCTCCTATTCCATAGGTTGCCTTTTAACTCTGTTGCTTACTTCCTTTGCTGTACAGAGGTTTTTTAGTTTGATGTAGTCCCAGTTACCTAATTTTGTTTTTATTGTTTGTACTTTTGGTGTCATATTTAAAAAGTCATTGCTAAGTCTAACATCATAAAGTTTTCCCCGTTTTTCTTTTCTTTTCTTTTTTTTTTTTTAAAGATTTTATTTATTTATTTGACAGGGGGAGAGAGAGAGAAAGAGAGAGAGCACAAGCAGGGAGGGGGGCAGACAGCAGAGGGAAAGGGAGCCTGATGTGGGGCTCGATCCCGGGATCCTGGGATGATGACCCCTGTTTTTCTTCTGCAAGTTTTACAGTTTCAGGTCTTAAATTTAAATTGTTAATACATTTTAGGTTGATTTTTGTGTGCAGTGTAAGATAAGGGTCCAGATTAATTCTTTTGCATGTGGATATCCAGTTTTCCCAACACTGTTGAAGAGACTGTTCCTTTCCCTGCTGTGTATACTTGGCCTTTATGTTGAGGAGCATTTGACCATATATGTGTAGGTTAATTTCTGGCTTTCTATTCTTTTCCATTGGTAAATATGTTTGTTTTTATTCCAGTACCATACTGTTTAATTAGTGTAGCTTTGTGATATAGTTTGAAATCAGGAAGTGTGATGCTGGCAGCTTTGTTCTTTCTCAGAATTGTTTTGTATATTCAGGGTTTTTTGTAGTTCCAAATGAATTTTATGATTTTTTTTTCTATTTCAGTAAAAAAAAGAAAAAGCCAGTGGGATATTAATATAGAATACATTGACTCTATAATCGGCTTTGAGTATTATGGACATTTTAACAATAGTAAGTCTTCTGATCCATGAACTTAGGATGTCTTTCTATTTATTTGTGTCTTCTTTAATCTGTTTTGTCAATGATAGTTTTAATTTTACAAGTTTTTCACCTCTTTGGTTAAGTTTATTCCTAAGTATTTTATTCTTTTTGATGCTGTTGTAAATGGGATTGTTTTCTTAATTTTTGATAGTTCATTATTAGTGTACAGAAATGCAGCTGATTTTTTTTATTGAAATATAGTTGATACAACTGCAGCTGATTTTTGTATATTGATTTGTATCTTGCAACTTTACTGAATT